AACCCCCGTTATTTCAAAATTCAAAAAAAGCGGGTAGGGGCGCCCAAAACCCACAACCCCGGCCCGCAGCGGGGGGGGGGGGGGGTCTCACCTTGACGAACTTAGTGACGGACGTGCCGAAGTCGTCGAGCAGCTTCTTGGCCGTGGTGGACTTGGTGTGGTCTAGGTGTGCCTGGATGAAGCCTCTGAGTTCCTCCATGTCCTCGGGGGTGTCCACCTTCTCCAGCGCCACCATCCCCATGTTGCAACGGGCAGGGAACTCGCCCTGTGCCACGTTTCGGTTTGTTGCGTGAATTTGAGGAAGAAAAGCGGGGGGGGGCGGGGGGGGCAGAGCGGGGTTAAGAGGGCCGGGAGAGGTCGGGAGGGATGCTGCATAAGACACACACACACGTACGGCTACAGCAGTATTCAACAATAATTCAAGTGATCGATGGATCTACCGGCATTGCGAGATCGCACCTCAGGGTCGTAGATCCAGGCTGTTCCCCCGCTCATTCCCGCCGCGAAGTTTCTCCCCGTGGGCCCCAGGCAAACCATGTTGCCGCCCGTCATGTACTCGCAGCCGTGGTCTCCCACACCCTCGACGACCTGCGTATTTGCCGACACCGATAGAGAAGGTAGATCGTGTGACACAAGCGAACCTAGAAGACAAGGGTTGCGGGCGGGCAGCAGCAGCAGCAGCAGCAGCAACCACAGACAGCAGAACCAGACCACGGGGTGTGGGCGGCAACAACAGAGGGCTCACACCACGCCCGATAGGCACCAGCAGCAGCAGCAGCAGCAGCAGCAGTTAAAATAACAACAGCAACAGTAGCAACCGCGACAGCAGCCAATGAGGATCACGCCCAAGGCACACGGGCAGCAGCTACAGCAGCAGCAACAGCAGCAGCAACAGCAGCAGCAACAGCAAACAAGCAAAAAAACAAATATACATGCATGCATAGGCACCATGTATTTCCGTTTCATCACACACGCACCGCCAAGGCCCCGGAGTTGCGCACGCAGAACCGCTCCCCGGCCAACCCGCGGAAGAACGCGTTACCAGAGGTGGCACCGTACAAGCACACGTTGCCTGCCGAAGAGGTCGTCGTCATGCCGCATGTCCAGGCCAGATGGGTGTTTGGTGGTGTTGACGGGGCGGGGGGGATAAACCGCACACGAGAGAGCAGGTCAGTTATAGCAAGGGTCGAAAAAAGCCTCGGCGTATCATGTGTGCGATATTATATTGTCGCCGCCAAAGGGTCGGGTCGGCGAAGTATGCACAGGAGCATGTAAATGTCAGAAGACCACAGTTCAGCTGGTGAAAAAGTAAATGTACACTTGAGAGAGCAGTGATGCCCCGCCGGAACAAAAAACGTCTCGAGACGATACAAAAGGTACGAGGCATCAATCCAACAGAACATCTCACGCCCTGCAATCCCGTATGCATGGGGCTTTTGTGTGTGTTGTGTCATGTCTCACCGACGATCACGTTGTCCTCCGCGACGAAGCCCTTGTCCAGGGCCTCGGCCTTCGGGTACACCACCACCTTACCACCCGAGAGACCCTTGCCCACGTAGTCGTTCGCGTCTCCCTCCACCTGCAACACCCACGGAACGACCGAAATAATTGGGTTAGCGTACGAGGAGTTGGGGGGTCGCACTGCACGTTTTGTATGCAGTACCACTGAAGCCTGAGTTGGTTTCGTCCTACCGATGATGATGACACGACAAAAATAACAACCGCAGCGAGGAAATTGTAACAATGTACCCGCCATGTAGAATTTTATCTAGTCTAGGAAAACGTCATCAGTTGGGAGGGTTCGGGCCTTCCTGCCCTCGGGAATGTATCGTAATACTTTCGGTTCACCATTTTCTTTTGTTGCGTTTTTCCGGGCGGTGACGCACCCCACAGCAGTCAAGCTATTATAGTGCACGTTGCAGCATCAACAGGAAGACCGCCACCATCGCAGTGTGCCGTACAGAAAATCAGGTGCTGCAGTACACACAACGGTGGCGACATGAAGTACTGAGGCGCGCGCAGTGTTACAGGGCAGCGGCACGCAGCTACTGCCACGGCAGTAGCTTAGCTGCAAGATGAGCCTCGCTCACCTCTAGGAAGACTCCCTTGGCGAGAGTGAACCCGAACGACTGCCCGGCGTGTCCGTCGAACTTCACGTGGATGGTGTCCGGGGGAAGGCCCGCCGCACCGTACCTTTTCACAGCCAAAAAAGAAAGAAAAAAAAAGTGGGAAAGGTAAGGGGGAGTAAAACGAGTGAGAGCAGGAAACAGAAAAGTAGGGACAAGAATGCCAACCAAGCTTTAGAAATGAGCACAGCGTGAAGAGGAGAATACCTGGTCAAAGCGAGAGCGCGTACAGGACAAACAAACGGCAACCACGCACACCCACACGCACCCATGCCTGCACACGGCTGCTTCGTCTGACAGCGGGCGCGTCGTCACCGACCACCAAAAATAATTACCAAAATAATCCCTACAATACATCCTCGGAACGAAAAGCGCAGCAGTCGCCGCCAGTCTTCTCTCACGAATATCCGACCGAGTGTCTTTCGATCTCACGCGGGTAAACGAAAACCACTACCAACCCTCCCTCTCCCTCTCTCTCTCTCTCTCTCTCTCGCCCTCCCTCCCTCCCTCTTTCGTTCTCACTTGGTGGAGATGGTGTTCGACAGGATGGTGCCCGTGGTTCTGTCGAGGTTGTTGATGGGCATCTTCAGGGACACCGGGGTCTTGCTCTCGAGGGCGTCCTTCGCCTCCTCCATGATCCTAAAGTCTATCCGCTGGTCGATGCCGTGGTCCTGTATCCAAGACAAGACAAGACAAGTCAGCGGGAGCATCGAAGCTTGTGAGTGAGAGAGAGTGTTGCCTCGGAGAGATGTGTTGGACCTACCTTCCCCAAGTTTTTCGTCTCTTTTTCGAAGGAAATGACATATCAAAAGTCAAGGCGTTGGGTTAGTCAGCCTTGAAGCACGCGAGAGATTGGCATTCACGAGGCGTGGCAAGCGGCGATCACCGGCACATTCCGCAATCGATCGAATGTAACTCTTGTACGCTGTTGTTGTTGCTTTTGTTGTTGTTGTTGTTGTCTTCACATTAAACTCGTGTCAGTTGCTGATCCCAAAATCTAGCAAAGACGCGGTCCGTGGTCACAAAAATGCTAGAGCCATCTCTGTTGTAGAACCACGGTAGAGAGCGAGCACGGTAGTATGATCGTATGGTAGTATGGTAGCATACGAGTGTGTATGTGAGTGTGAGAAAGAGAGACAAGACTGAAAGACAGACTAGCCACGCGAAAAAAACATGATCAGAAACGAAACAAAAGCAGCAGCAGCAGTAGCTGTCTTGTGTCAACAGCAGTACAGTACAATAGCTGTCTTGTCTTCGTCAGTCTCTGTCTCTCGCCTGCTCGAAGCTCTTGGAGACGCCAGAGTGGTTCTCGTTGAGAGAGGTGGCCGGCGTGAGCAGCGCACTCAGGTCGAGCCCTCTGCTCTTGTAGTGGAGCACGTCCGGGTTGATCTCCAGCCTGTCCACGCGGCCGATCATCTCCTCCACCGACCGGAAGCCCATGGTGGCCATCATCTCCCTGGACGTTCGTGTTTTTCGTGGATGGGGGGAAAGGCCGGATTATACACGTGCATGCCTATACAGCAGCTGTCGTGAACTAGGCGATGGGCGCGGATGCGGGCGTAGTGCAAGCTGACATGTTTCTCGGTTTTCCTGTGATGACGTGCGTAGAACTTTTGCACTTGTTGGTGCCGTGATGCCATAGACACGAGAGCGGATTTGCTCGCGTGCACCACTGTCATGGGTACAAAAGAGACATCGAAGCATAAAATCGATTAAATAGATACCGGTGTACGAGCAGATTGACGATGAACCCTACCAACCAAATTTATCCAACCCCGCGCTTTGAACACGCTCCCGCTTGAAACACCAACTACTGGCAATCAGCGGGAGGCGGGAGAGAGAACATTGGATTCGACGACATGGCGAGATCGATCGCACAAATTTCCATCACCACCACCACACACCCTCGCTCCATGTTTCCCGGGACGAAACATACTCGTGGAAGCACGGCGTACAACTTCACACAAGACGCTGAAAACACTGTGCAGCCACATCCACACTGACTGCACCACCGCCATCACCGCCGGCATGAGCCTCACCTAACCTCCTCGGCCATGAGGTAGAAGAAGTTAACCACGTGCTCGGGCTTGCCCGTGAACTTCTTCCTCAGGATGGGGTCCTGGGTGGCCACCCCCACGGGGCAGGTGTTCAGGTGGCACTTCCTCATCATGATGCAGCCCATGGCGATTAGAGGGGCCGTCGAGAAGGCGTATTCCTCTGCCCCAAGAAGGGCCGCGATAACGACATCTCGCCCTGCGTTTTTACAGCAGTTGCGTTCGGCGCACGTGGCCAAGTGAGAGAGTGGCGAAGATGTACCAACGCAAATCGCAAGGTGAGTGAACAAAGAGCACACGAAGAAACAGCAGATGGTGACACAGCAACTTGGGGGGGGGTCGTATACGTACACCAACGTGCCGCTGCTGGACCATCCAGATATGTACAACACGGGCAAAATTATCCTCCCCGTCGACTGGCTTTCGCCATCCAGTAGAGAAGAATAAAAACGTTTTGAGATACACCACACACAACCTCCGTCAACACCAACATTAAAAAAAAGCGCAATAGAGATACGGACTGCAAAAACGAAAAAAAAAAGAGCAACCCACAAGATGGCATGACATGGCGAAACCAGAAATAAACACCACCATACCACGCCCCCGCCTCCGACACAAGGACTGCCTATGCAAATAATGCAAGGTTATCACGAAAAAGGCTTGAAAAGACCAGGGAGGGAGCACGCAGACCCAACCCTAACCCCCCAACCCCCATTGGCCGGTTCTATACTTTAATCCAGTATGTTTGCTTGCCCAGAACAACCTGCGTACCGTATATGACACAAGATAACACACCCCCTGGACCGATTTTCAAAGCTCGATTACTCCACGACGAAGAGGATGCATAAACGAAACAATACATTTTCGAAAACCTCTCGACGAGACGGTTCCAACGCCGCCGTTTTCGGCGCTGTGACTCTTCCTGCTGTTGAGAAATCGAGCTTTGAAAATCGGCCCAGGGGGGTGTGTTATCTTGTGTCATATACGGTAGACTACTGTGACACAACAACAACAACAAAAAAGAACGCATTGCCGCACTTCCACTACATGTAGGTTTTTTGTCGCGCCTTGTACTTGTATTTGTGCTTGGTCACGCACCGTTCTTGAGCTGGCCATCCGTCTGCAGTCGCACGCGCGAGCGAAGGTCGTTGAGGACCAGCGTCTGCTGCGCCTCCGCCACCCCGAGCTCCCACGGGAGGCCGGCCCCCTTGATGGCCGTCCACACCTTACACAAGCAAAAAAAAAAGAAAGAGGACACGCAGTATGGTACATGGTAAAGAAACTATGAAAGCTTAGCAGTGACCCGAAGGGTAGCACTGCATAAAAAAAAACAGAAGTTGATAACCAGGGGCAGTGTCGCACCGCCCGACAGCTATCCATGCGTTCGATTGTTAAAAAAAAAAGACCATCACACATGTACAGGAAGACGGCACGAGAGCTACGAAACATCGCTGATGAAGGTCAACGCTTTCTCGTGACAAGAAAAAAACATACTCATTGAAGAGGCCGAGGCCCCGCATGCATGCGACTGTCAGATTGATCTACACGAGAAACCCTACGACTCGCACAAAAACTGTCCTAGCCTTGGGGGGGAAACGTGTGACAAAATACCGGGGGGCTGTCCCCAAGGAGGGACGTTAACCTTGTCTTCCTTACCACTCTTCTCCTATCATGAGGAAGGCCACACAGGAGGTACTAATAGTCGTGTTCTCCGCCTTCATTCTGACCTGCTGACTGCAATGCAACCCAACCCAAAATTAACACATGGCCGGCCACCGGGGGCTGGGCTGGGCGGCAACGGCACTCACCGCTGCGCCGGTCCCTCCGTCGTGCCCGGAGACGGTGATGTGGTCCGCCTTGGCCTTGGCGACGCCTGCAGCCACCACACCAACGCCCACCTGTAAAAACACAGCATCATCGACGACAGAAGGCACGAAGGCCCGTTGGTGGGACGAAATCATCGGCCGCAGTCGAGAGCAGGAGAGAGAGAGAGCCAAGAAATACATACCAACAGCGTGAACGAGAGTAGCCAGACGCACAGCAGCAGTGCGGCGCAAGGCACGAGAAAAGCTTGCTTTTCTTCCTGCAATACCCACCCGCGATGCCTGTGGCGGCATCTGCCTCAAACGAGCAAAGTTGTCAAGGGCCTACCTAGAAAGCTCGCGGATGTTGTGCTAACACCCACTCGTACTGCGGCGGGGCGGAAAACGCCCACACAACACAAAGGTAACTAAAGCGCTCGCTCCTCGCCGCAGAGGTAACTGGCGACCTCCACCATCAGGAGGCGCCGATTAGCCACGCCTACCTACACGTACGCACCTCCGACACTAGCTTGACGGATACCTCCCCCTTGGGGTTGGCGTTCTTGAGGTCGTGGATCAGCTGTGCCAGGTCCTCGATGGAGTAGATATCATGGTGAGGGGGGGGAGAGATAAGGCCCACCCCCGGAGTCGTGTGTCGGTTCTGGGCAATGTACTTGGTCACCTGCAAAACAGAAAAAAAAAAAAACATCGATCGATCAGCAAGAAACAGACAGACGATACACACGTAAAACACAAGGATGAGGGTGTGTGGGCGGGCGGGGGTTGAGGACTCAGACGAGCGTAACGCGCAAACCGAAAGAGTATTACTATGGGAGACATTTGTCGTAAACCAGGGAAAGGGCAGACAAAGCTCACCGTGGCAGCAGTACATGTGAAGCGTGATCCTCAAAAGCCGAAAATCTCACACGCTTTCCTAGATTGGCGGCGAACGCTGTCCTTCCGTCTCACCATCATTGTCATGATGGAATTGAGTTTTCAACCTTCATCGTATTTCTTGCACAGCAGTGCCACGAACTATACAACCACCCGGAAGAAATCGTCCAAATTCCCCCCCTGACACCCAAACCACATTCTAACCCGAAGGCGGGGACCTGCGAGCTTTGCCCTCCCTGGGAACACGCAAAATCACTCCACCCCCCACCGATGCTCCGTCCTGTCATGGCCAAACATTAAATACCAACCCCGCGTTCTCCGTCCCGACTTTGCAGGCATGCAAGGTCAACGATCTAGCGACTACGCATGCACGGCTATGAGAATACCTCCTTTCGACACACACTCGCCTTGGAGCCGGGGAGCTCGCCGCCCTCTCCAGGCTTGGCCCCCTGCGCCATCTTGATCTGGATCTGGTCCGAGTTGGCGAGGTAGTTCGACGTCACGCCGAAACGCCCGGAGGCCACCTGCTTGATCGCCGATCGACGGTTGTCCGTGAAGCGCTCGGCGTCCTCGCCTCCCTCCCCGGTGTTGGAACGCCCGCCGATCTCGTTCACCTGTCGAACAAAAAACGTTGTTGTTGTTGTTGTTGTTGTTGTTGTTGTTGTTGTTGTCTTCACATTAATAACCGTTCCGTTCTCTCTGTACTACCCAGTGCATTCTTCTCTGGATGTACTATAATAGTCTAACGCTTGACGCGGTCGATTCCCGTGGTCACAGGCCAACTTACCCTAGAAAGGTACAATACGAAAACAAAATGGACCCGAAGGGTCCGCAAGTCAATAGAAATCAACGACAGACAGTATACATATGCATATGACAGTTTTCGTGGCTCGGCGGGTTTTTCGGTTTCCGCGACGAAAAAATAACAACGCGGTGCACGCTTGCTAAAAATCATCATACGGAGTATTCCTTATAGTGGGGGTGGGAGCGTGGTCGCTCATGAGTTGCGCCAAAAAGGGTTACGCAGCAAAAAAAATGCAGACATTGAAAAACATGAGCAACTTATGCGCAAACCAGAATTTAATAGCAGTTAAGGATTGAGTGCCACGTGCTGAGTACTGGAGTCAGTTGACTCCGTTTCAGGTTCCCTTCCGACGTTCGGTACCGCGACCAACACCAGCCGTGAAACCTGCACCTCTGTAACTTTCGAGACTTTCATCACGTCCGTACCTTCCTGCTTGTTTGCTCCCTTGCCAACGTCACCACTCTCTACTACAGCTGCCTCTCTAGCTGTGTGCGTTTCTTGGGTGAGTGATTTTCTCTCTCTCGTGCTTTTCTCACCGCCTGCGCCAGCGTCTCGTGAGTCTCGCGCGAGATGGAACCCAGGGACATGGCCCCGGTGTTGAACCGCTTCATGATCTCGCCAACCGGCTCCACCTCCTCCAGGGGAATCGACAGCGACGGCTCGTCCTTGAACCGAAGAAGACCCCTATTCATAAAAAAAAAAACACCACAGAGAATGTACAGTAGCGGCCGCTTTCACATGGGCAAGTCCGAAAAAAAGAAAAAGCAGAGTAAAGACTCTAGCGTGCAGCCGTCTTTGGAAGGGCGAAGACGGACAAGACCAGGCTCGTGCGGTGTAGAAAAGGTACAAGGAGGGCGAAGATAACGAAAAAAACAAAACGCGTACACACACTCACGCACGAACGTTCTCCGCCGTCTAACCCCACCCTAATTTTTACCCATGTCTTTGAATCATACGGTTACAAATGTAGTACCACGGTTGATGCCAGCTAACGCAACGAACGCACGAAAATATTGCGATGCGTACGTATGAGAGTGCTACGGGTGGAGATGAACCGGTCCGAGAGCAACCTTGTCACGCACCTGAGGGCAACGCGCTCGGTGGCAGAGGTGACAGCGTCCGAGTAGCTCTTGTAAGCTTCGCGAGAGTTGTTTCGCGCGGCCATCTGCATGGGGGGGGGGGGGGGGGGGCGCCATTTGCGTTGTGCGTGGCAGACCCAAAATGGTTCCATTGAACGACTGACGTCTGTCTGTTCATTGGTCCGCCGGTAAGCGCCGTCAATGCAAATTCAAATAATCACACAAAGAGCACAAAAAACAAGCATGATTTCATGGTGTTTTCGTAAGGAAAAAAAAATCGACAGACATGGTCAACCACGCCACGAAGAACCCGACCGACCGAAGGACCAAACGAATGGACGAACGAACGAAAAGACTGACGAACAGCCCAATGATCCACCGAACAAACGAACGAACAGAACAGCGAACGGAACGGACCTGGAGGTAGACCATAGTCTCCGGGTTGTTCAGGTGGGCCTCTCCGCCATCGCGGTAGTGGAACTGCCCGAGGTTGTCGAGGAGCGGCAGGTTCTGCGTGTTCGGCGGGTAGGCCTTCTGGTGGAGGCGGCAGATGTCCATGTAGAGCGACGAGAAGTCCGTGCCCCGGAGACGGGACGTCGTGCCCGTGAAGCAGCGGTCGACGATCTCGTCCGCCAGACCCACCGCCTCGAACACCTATTATTCATTATTTCGAGAAAATGACGGGGAGCAGGTTTCGAGATGATGATGATGATGATGATGGGGGGAGTTTTCCACGAAAGCGCGGCGTTATGGTGGCAGGGGAGGAGAGTGTTGGGAACACGGAGGCAAGCTAGTCATTTCTGCGTGCGTGCCTGCTGCCCGTGATTCTCACGTTGCGGTAGCTCTCTCACGTGTACTGTAACCGCGTCGTGAACACACTGCAAGCACGCAGGGTTTTAACTACGCGCTAAGATAGGGAGAAGAACACCGAGATCACGTGCGTGCAGAGAGCAACACTAAAACAAATAACTTGAACTGAAAAAACAAAATGAAAAAGAAAGCACGACGAAGGAACCCAAAACACGACCAAGACCGCCAGGACGACAGGAACAACCACACCAGCAGCACAGCACACACCTGGGCTCCCTTGTAGGACTGCAGCGTGGAGATGCCCATCTTGGACATGACCTTGAGGATGCCCTTGGCGACGCTCTTGCGGTAGGCCGAGAACAGGTCCTGGTCGCTGTAGTCCTCCTTCGCTTTGGCCGACACGAGACCCTCGTTGTTCATCTTCGCGATCGCTTCGTAGGCCATGTAGGGAGCCACGCCGTCGGCGCCGTACCTGTTTCGAGTGGTAAGAGTATGCATGTGCGCCGCAGTTTTCCAATGGCCGTCGTGGAAGGCAGGGGTGCGGGGTCGGTGGCGGGCAACGGAGGTGTAATGCCAGCCGCACGCTCGAGAAAGCTCTCCGCGCCCGTATGGTGCCTCAAGGGGACTTCACGACCAATTGCTGTTGTCGAGTGCCAACAAACAACGACTGTTCTTCTGCGACCTCATACCAGGTACTTGGTATGGTGTGGGATAACACGTGCGCGTGGGGGGACTCGTCCAAAAATATGGGTGGTGGCAGAGTCTTCAAGCCAAGGCGTGTGCGCGTGTATGGGCGTGTGGTGCCCATTCTCTGCCCTCCTTACCCCCATTCACCAACCACCGACACATCTCATGCGACACGGGTCACCGTTCCTACCCCGACCAAAAGGTACGCTACAAGCCGAGGAGCGCGGGGGCACGCAGGGCTCCAGGATAAACGACGTACCCGATGAGGGTGGCCATGTCGTGGACCTCGCGCGCGTCGCCCATCTCGGCAAAGATGGCCCCCTTCAGCCGCTGCTTGGTCGTGAGGAGGTGCTGGTGCACCGCCCCTACCGCGAGCAGGGAGGGCACCGGAAGGCGGTCGGGTCCGGCCAAGCGGTCGGACAGGATCACCGCCTTGACAAAAAAAAAAAAGAAGAAACAAAAAAACAGGACATCAATGCACACGCCACGAAATTAAAGGACACTACAATATATGCATCCAAGTGATGAGGTGGATGAAGGAACGGGGCAAGAGACGGACAACGTTTGCGACGACACCGGCACGCGAAGCGGCAGCAGTAGCAGTAGCTCCAGCGCGGTGGCAGCAGCAAAGCAGCAGATAGTAGCAGCCGTATATACGTTGTAGCAGATTGGAGTCGACACCCGGTAGACAGTGACCAAACAGCTCAAACGCAAGGGCGAGGAACCGAAGCAGCGACCACTGGCAGACCATCCACCTCTAACACACCAAACCACGGTGGCCCCGAAAAGGATCGCGATCCATACCCACCTCACCTCCCAGGACACCACAAAACACGTCGTCAACCCCTGCATCACAGCAAGATACATACAACTAAACATCGAGAGTAACGACACAACAGGGCACCGTCAGAAAACAAAAACCCAAGCACAAAAAACACGACGGAAACAAATCTGTTTTCCTGGCACAACTCGCGGAAACTGAGGGGGACGGCATGACTGAAACGGGACGGGATGGGAAGAAGTAAGGTACGGGACGAGACGGGACGGACCTGGCAGTTGCCGCCGCGAAGGGCTTCCGAGCTCTCCATGCAGATGTTGTCCAAGGCCTCCATGAGGCCATCGGGGCCTGAGCTGACGGGGAAGGTCGCGTCGAGCACCTGCGTCTTCCATCCCTTGTACTCCGTGTCCTTCAGAGCCTGTTGACCAATCCAAGAGAATCGAACGGAATACGAGTATGGCACAAGGGGGCACGTGGGTTGTGGAGGGGTGGGTGTGGACATTTGTAAGACGCAGACGACGTAGCATACCCGCCACCGGCAAGCAAAAAACTGCAGCAGCAGCATTAGCAGCAGCAGCAGCAGCAAAAAAAACGTCATCAACAATGGCAGCAACAGCAACAATAACAACAACAGCCAAAATAAAACACTACTACAAGAGAAGCAGCGCAAAGAGATCAGCCAGCAAACCAAGAGCAAACATGGTGCTTGTATTGCGGTAGGTAGCAGCAGAGCACGAAACTGCTACATGCACGGACCTGCATCTCCTCGAGCGTGAGGATGGGGTTCTCGACCACCAGGCGGGCGCAGTGCTCCGGGCCCACCACAAGGCCGTTCGCCTCGGGGCCGACGGGACACACGAGAGACATCACCATCTCCTCACGGATAGGGTCGATGGGGGGGTTGGTCACCTGGATCGTCCGCGGGGGGGGGGGGGGGGGGGGGGGGGGGGGGGGGGG